TCATGCCAGTAAGTCATTGCTGGGAGACTGATGGGGATTATGGGCACAAGCGGCAATGTATTTGGTGGTGAGCTTGGCTGTCAATATATAAACTACAGCTCTGGCGTCTACCGTTAACACGCAAATCTCAAATCTACATGCCCAATGGTGTTTGCATCCCCAACAACCGGTAATAAGTGCGTTGAAATTCAGACAACTCTTGAGGCCTGACATACCATGCACCCCATAAAAAGCACACTGGGTGGTCAATAATCAGTGCCGCTGCTATGGGACATTATAATATTGAATCCAAAAAGTTATGTAAGCTCCAGATACAACGCACCCACACACGTTTTCATAAATGGGTGGATGCTGGACTGAGGCATTTCTTATTCAGGTACTAAACAGCCAGCTTAAGAAGCAGATCTGTTGTCTCTTGCAGGACATTTCCAAGCTGTTCAAAAAAGCAGATTCGAAGCGGTAAAACCCAACGCTTGTCTTTCGGCTCATAATTTGTTTGCGCAGATGATCACAGAGGGCACAATTTTGCGTTTACACAACAGTCCTCCAGCTGGCTGTCACGCAGGCCAGCCACTGATCGATCGACCTTCCGCAGGTGGCGGCAAGCCCACCTTGGGAGGCTGGAAAGCTGCTGAAAAATGCATGCTCACGAATTCCAGCGGTGGATTTGTGGCGCATAAGTCACTCATTTAGTCATTCGGCCAAGACGGCAGATTCCCACGGGCGATGGTCTGATCACAGAAAAGCTCTTTCTTAGTTTAATATGTCACTTAAACCTCTTACGTGTGGTGAAAACGAGTGCACTTAAACTTTTATCTTATCGGAAGATCGCTTGATATGGTTGATGAGAATGTTCATATTGGATTGTAGAAAAACAGGAACCAAAATACCAAAGAGGAGAGCAGTTAATGGTGTTTTGGCAGAATTCCTCACTGTTGCGATTTTTATGGTAGTTTTTCTCAGACTTGCAAAATTTACGGAGTAGCAAAATGCTAATCAAGCAACGTTTTTGCTGCTGCACTGTATGGCACGACATTGGAAAATTAGTTGCTAACAAAATCCTTCAGCCAGCTAGCCGACGCTGTCGGGTCGGCTATCCTGTGACCCGCAAACCGGTTAACCATAGCCAACCGTAATACTTCATCCCTTTTCACTACGGTATAATATCTGTCATGTTCAAGCAGCATCATTTGTTTTCGTGCTTTCACAATTAAGTACGAGCTCTTGAAACTGGATGGATTTCTGGGACCAGAGCTACCACTAAGCATTGCTTGTTATATAGGCCATGACCCCCACCATCTGATTGTGAAATTCTAGGTCAACGGCAGGATTTGGTGATGAAAGCTTCAACGTACCGCAATGCACGGCACGGTCCCCTGCCGTCACCTGACCTTTTCGTCGGCCGCTGCCCTCGGCCGTAGGCCAACTTAGTCCAGGACAAACAGCGAGCGCCCAAAGCGACTCGAATCCGCCCCGCCACGGGTGGCCGACTTGGAAGCCAAATGCTCTAACCAGCTGAGCAATCAGGGATCTAGCAAGGTCCATCAGCTGTCAGGAACAGGACTGACAACACAGTCCAACGCCCCCCCCCCCCCCCCCCCACCGCCACAATCAGAATAACCTAACCCAATTTCCGAAAGTGAAGGCTCTCTTAAAGCAATGTCAGCCACGTAACCAACAACCGTATCAGCACCTCCCAAATTTGTCGCATGTCAGCAAGCTCATTACCTCATGGCTGGCGGCTGGCAGCCCATGTGCTTGATCGGCATCCATTTCAATGAGTTCACGAAATATTCGTGTTACGAAATAGTAAAGTATGAGAAATGCTCTTTCGACAAATGCACTCAGCGTCATCACCAATCATGGAATCTTAATCAGCAACTAAAAAGCGGGTGCTACATAACTCTTAACGGTTGGAGTAACGTCGACACGCCCATGTCTGCTGCACAGACCAATGCCGAAGCCGCAGATTCGCATCTAAGAAAGAAACAAGGCTGTGTCGTTGACTTACACCGTGGTTGTTAACTCCATTCCCATGATTACCCATTCAAAACGCAATTGCTTGCCCTTTCCTCGCCTAGCTCCACCTCCTTAGCCTCTAAAATAGCTTTTCAAACAGAGCATTTTGTTGTGTTTGCTCTGCGCTAGTACTGTATACCGGACATGTCATAAACTGACGCGTTTTTCCAAAACAGAGCACCTTATTTTGTTTGCTCTGCGCTAGTAATGTATGCTGGATATGTCATAAGCTGAGGTTTTTCTCCCACACAGAGCGCCTTGTTTTCTTAGCTCTGCGCTAGTAATGTACGCTGGGCATGTCATAAACTGACATCTTCCTCCCAAAACTGATTCAATGCAGCCTGGAATGAATGAGATGAACGCGTGAAGAATGCAATTCCCACTGCAATGTCCCAGAATTTTGACCTATTCCCTACCACGTACAGAGCCACTGCAGCCATGCGCTGTGGTGCACTTACTGTCCATTTACTGTCCATGTGCTGAGGTGCGGATTAAACTAAATTCCCTTATTTTTGAAAGGTGATGTTCTTAAAGAGCACATAGTCGTTTTGTTGTTTTCCATTTTTGCGGGACCTTTGTGGGGTTTGATCTCCACATTGACAGGTGTGAGGTAAGCACAGGCGTCCAAATCCCGAAGGTGATGCGGAGTTTTGCTTATGCTCCAATGCTGATCATGCGACTTTCTCGAAACCACCCCCGATCGACAGTGGAGAATTTGAGTTTGAAAGCCTGAATGTCTTTGAGGCATGATGGTAAACGTCTCAGGAGGCACCGGACTGGTTTTCTCGTATTTACCAATTGACGAAGCGGATGGGAGCATAACAGTCTTTCAGAAAGCGGTGATCATAGACCGTCAATGAACCCCTTGTAAATGCCAGAATCCTCAAGTCTTTGGCATGGGAGTCTTTTCTCGGCAAGGAAACCGCTGTCCTGTCCCCGCTCAAGGCTATATAGCGGGATAGAAAATTGCGTCAACTTTTATCATGGGCCTGGATAAATGATGCTTAGGTCTGACGCGTTAAATCAGGAGCAGAATTTCCTCAAACAGGTGTGGGTGTGGATGGAGGCGGACTTCACCAACAACCTGCCATAAGAAAACGGGGAAGGACCACAGATTCGACTTGTTTGGATATATCTGCTCAGAGATGATGAAATTTACGGTGTTGTCCAATCTAGAACACATGCCGGCCTTTAACATCCTGTGATGCGTCATCCACGGTGCTAAAATGATGATAGATGTGGATTTAAAAAAGATGAGAACTTAGTAGTGGCTGCGCTTCTGCATGAGACCACATGTTTATGGGCACTAAGCTATTGTGCTGCCATCTAACTACGAAATTCAGCAATAAGCACAAGCACTTCAGTCAGCTGTCAAGTCTCGCTGAATTGTGAAATTGCTGATTTGTCCGCGCGCCGAAAGTATGTCTGAGAAATGTCGCACAATTTCTCATGCACTTTCAATCAATTGTATACTTAAACAAACACTCAAAAAAGTAAAGCATGCAAAGCGATGACAAATGAACATGGCACACATTACATGCAGGTCAAATTTAACTGGGCTGATTATTTATTATGCTGTTGTCTAAAGAAACTCCGGTTATCATGCCCATTCGCCGACGGCGGCTATTTTACTGTTTGTCCAGCTTGCTAACGTGGTGTGATATCACTCGGTTTTGTGCTGTTACGGCGCCGGAATGAGCTCCGTGGTCTCATTTTCCTTTGCTGGATATGTATATGTTCCTTTGCCTGTCTTGGGGAATTCCTGACCGTTTCAATCCTGTGGTTGACCGCTGAAAGTCACTGATCTTTTAAAAAACATGTTGTAAATAACGCTGACATTTGTTATCACATTACACAATGTGTGATCATGGCAGGGAATGTGGTATGTGATATGTGGCAGTGTACACGTCAGCTGTCAGTGGAATAGTCATAACTCTGGCGCTCACGCATCGAAAAATGCCCGTTCTGGGAGTTCTGCCGCATAAGTTTTTTACAATTCTGCACTGCTGGTTCTCATCTTAACCAACATCGTCGCAGTTTCAACGCGTGGAATCACCAGTTACGTGTAGGCCGTCAAGACCGTTAAAAGTACTCTGCGTAGACTGTGCCGCATTGCTTCCGTGTGAGCCGGAACAGACCGGCCGCAGACGTCGACGGCGCCTGGCGACCTGTTGGATTGATAGCTGCGCACACATTCTATTCGAAGTCAAAACACGTCAGTAGTAATGAACGAACGTCTTTACGCGACAACTAAGTTGCTTTCGCAATTGCAAAAACGTGTAAGCTATTGACGGGTAACACCGCACTGACAGATGCGTTTTGCCCAAGACAAGACATTGAGCCATGCTTCCAGCGTGTGCGGACGGCTTGACCGGTGCCGCGACACGCCAACAGAGCCCGACCTCCGAGCTGATGACGCGCCCCTTCCTGTCTCGCGGGCCGTGTGCGGCCGTCCGTCGCGGCCGCCCCGCAGCTGTGTACGCGGCGAACAAAGCTTGTTATTCCGGCCGGCGCGTCGCGTTTCCGGTGGTCTTGTTATCGGCATCACCACTGGTCGTCGGCTGCCGCCCGCACCGGCCCGTCGGTCCGGCGTGCCGCGCCCGCCGGCAGGGAAGCCCTCCGGTCACGCAGCTGCAGCCGGGTCAGAGTGCCACGACGCGGCGACAGTCACTCGGCTGGCTGTCGCAGCCAGACGCGCAGTGTGCGGTTATTGCCGAGGCGTTTTGACACATCTGCTGCTCCCGCGCCGCCGCTGTGTGATGAGGACGTGTCGCACTACGCATCTGTCAGAAACGCAGCTGCTGTGCGTGTATCTGCGCGACGGGGCCGCGTGTCAACATGACAGGGTATCATGCCATGCGGTCATCCGCGTCCGATACGCAGTTATGATGTACGGCACAATGCCGTCATCTGTACACACGTGGATGGATCCAACGTTTCCGTCTCGGTCTGACTGACAAGCCACGTTGAACCTGTTGCAGGACTACATTTCGAGACTGGCAACAGGGAGGTGCAGCTGCAGATCGGGCGCGCGCTGGAGGTGTTCATCGAGGGCGCGCGCGCGTTCCAGCAGCAGCATCCGCACAAGCTTAGTCCCCAGCTCTCCTGCCAGGGACACGGCCAGATCCGCTGGCCGCATGGCGAACTCTTCTACAAGTCAGTGTCGCTCTCAGCTGGCCGGCTGTGGCAGGCCACCGCGGGCAGGCGTGGATGAGCTGGAGCAGGGCAGGACGGGCAACGGCAGTGCGGTAGGGCATGTCAGGACGATTTGGGGCAGGACAGCGCAAGGTGGGTCAGGACGGGGCCACCTAGAACAAGGGAATGAGCTGGAGCAAGACAAGGCGAGCTAGGGCAGCACAAAACGAGTCAGGGTAGGGAAGACCGAGCCATTGGCAGGACAGGACGAGCTGGGCCAGAACAGGATCGGATCGGTCGGGACAGAGTGGGTCAAGCTAGATCAGGTCAAGATGAGCTAGATGATAATGGGAAGCGTTAATACAGAACGAGATCAGCTGTTACGGTGAGACAACATAGGGCAAGACGGGAAGAGATCGGGTAGGACGAGACGAGAAAGAGAGACGAGATATGACAGGGTGGACCAGCTAAGGCTGGACAAGACGAGGAAACGCAATCTTGGGCAAGCCATGACAAGACGAGAAAAGAGAGGGCGAGACCAGATAAGCCAGGGTAGAGTGAGGCAAACTTGGGCGAGAAGAGACACGGTATGGCAGCACGATCCAAAATGAGGTATACTGCACGATTTAGGGCTAAACGAGATGAGGTAGGGCAAGCCAAGGCGAGTCGGTTCAGGACATGACGGTACACAAGAAGGCAGAAAGGGGCGACCTTCGAGAAAACACGATGAGCCAGGGAATGACAGGACATACTATGGCAAACAGAGGCTGAATGGGGTGGACTGCATTACGACCCCAGATGACTGATGGGGGCTGACGGTGGTGTGACATAAGGAGAGTGAAACAAACAGTGTTACAGTCATAAAAATCCACTGCCAACCAGGGGGTTAAGCTATACGAAAGATTCGGGGACCGCGTAAATAATGGATTTTCCACCATGTTCATTTTCCAATTCCATTTTCCATTTCAACCTATCGCAAGATTATCTTCTCTCCATTTCAAGTAGCATATCGTCATTGGATACGCAAGTGAAGTTCTTTTCGGTGCTGAAGACGCGGACATTGAATATTAGACTTCAGGCGTTTAGTGGGACAATCCACATCGTGCACATGGCTATTCCGTCCAACTGTCAAAAACTAACACGCAAGGAAAAAAGGTAGTGGGGCATGCGAGACATATCCACACAAATTCAGGACATTTATGCCTACAGGGCCAAACTGCATGCATACGTACGTGCAAAAGACCAAAGTAACCCCATGGTCTTCCCACTTGTGGCGCTTAAAGTCCGTGCGGAGACAGGGACCGGGGACCTGGGACAGGGAGTGTGCGATGGCAGCTCATTGTACGGCGTAGCCGCCCGGCAATAACAGCGCAGCTTCCCCAGTCTTTCGGCGATGCCGTCGCGTGGCACATTAATACCTACATCGAATAAAGTGTCATGGACTGAGATGAATGGGACGCGGTGGCTGCCAGACGAGCAGATCCAGGCGGGTCCTGTTAAAAAGGCTTGATAATGAGCGTGCTTGCTCGCATTGAATCTTTGAAATAGCGCCGATAAGTTGTCCACTCAGCACGCTTTTCAAAAAACTTGCAGCCTGGTCAAACGTGTCAAGCGTAGAGGTGACAGTAGGCGTACATGTTATTGTCACAGTTGGCCAAGCCGTAGACGTGTACGGACAGGGAGCATGTAAGAACAATTGGCTTCTCAAGCATTGCGGCTGTATTATTTCAAACATTTTTTTCCAGCACTTTATTTGAAAAGTCCTTCAACAAACACACTTGCATAATCTAATGTAGGCCAAGTGCGAACGAATACCTGGTGCGGTTATCAAGTTATCAAGCATAGGGCTATGTAGCTAAAAAAGGCTGCTCCGATCTATAAGAAGGTGCGTGGCACAGACTCTGCCGTTGGTCAGCTGGCGGTGCCTTGTTTGCATGTTATCCTCGCATAATCCATGACTGCTAGCCATTTGTTAAGATGTACAGTACTATTCAGCCAGCCAAGCAAACCTTTTGAGCATAATGCAATACTGCGCAGTTTGACTTTAAATATCCGGTGTAAAGGAAGATATGCTCGCTGCTAGGTTGAGTTCGAACTCCTACATTTGTGCTTCATTCACCTGCAAAGTACATTCGTGTCCCCGGGCTTTCAGGTTACATGAGTGTTCGGATTTTCCATTGTTTCGTGTCACAGTTGGCGCCATAGATGTCGGGGAGAGATGTCGGGTCATGTTGGCCAGCGTTAAAGGACGGGGGTACGTGTGGCTGATCTAGTGTAACGGATTACATGATTAGTGGCTCACTGACGCACGCGGGCTGCCTATGAACAGATTACCGACATAGCATATTGTCATGGTTAATTGCTGTCTTGCTGTAGCACCGGGGAGATTTTAGCAGTAATCTCAAGCAAATCACACTGAGCGCCTGCTTACAGACAGCCAGGTAACAATCTGGCTTGTTTAAATCACTGTACGTGATGCCTTTATTTTGCATAAGGAAATGCGACGCGTCAACCATGGAGCGACGAGTCTCTGGGACATTTATGGTGCTTACTCCGAATGAATATTTGGGTGCCCACACCAACCGCACCACTGTAAAGGGCACCATATTTGTGTTTTATCCTCTAAGTTTCTCCCAGATGAGAACATAAATTCAGATGAATGGGTGGAAACGAGCAGCGCTTCAGGCTCCTTCTTGAACTGACTACTTTCTTTCGCCTGCTCCGCTTAATTTGAACGGATGGCAGGCCGGGACGTGCTGCGGCTGGAAGCACTCTCGCATCATCCGGGGCTGTAGCCGGAAACCGGAAATGGGCTGCTTCCGGATAGCTCCCTGGACTCATTTTTGCTCTAAATTAGAGGCCACTTTCAGCGCCGAGTTCCTGTCAACGAGATCACGCTGTCCCTGGTTTCGTGTGGCATGACTTTGGTTTGGCACGAGCCTGAATTGAATTGACGTGGATATGAATCGGCACCTGCTTAAGTTGACGTTCATTCGTGTCGATATATGCCCGACCCCAATGGATTTGAATACAATGCTGTCGACCCGATGAGGTCAACGCGCATCGTGTTCCTGCCCTGATCCGTGCATTGCGTCACATCATCAGAGCACCGCAGAACATGAGACCTTGAGACCACAGGCGCCCTCACCACACGGTGCCAAATCCTCGCTCGAGCACGAGCTGTGAAGGCCGGGGCTCGAGGCCTCAGTCCATGCGAGGAATCGATCCGAGCTGCGCCTGCGGGCGCGACGCCGGCCATTGTGAGCCGCGACAGCGCCGAGTTTATCACCGATGTTCCGATCAGGCTCTTTTCCGGGTCCGTGGCGCTGCCTTCCGCGGCGATCGTGACATCACGTCCCCCCGCCCCCTTCCCCCACCCCTCCCGGCACCGCGGCTCTCCTCGCAGCCACAGATGAGCCGCTAGGTCATTTAGCCGTCTCGCGTGCACTGGTACGGCTTGGTTCATACTGGCTCCGCATTATGTCAAAGGTCACGGGTCAGCTCTGCTGCCCCTGTCGGACCCTGTGGGTCTGAGATGCGGGACCCGTGGCCGCCGTCACCGAACTGCTTAGGGCTCAGCCATTTTCGGCAACACGTGGTCGATCATTTCGGCGACACGACACGCACACATAGCGCACAGGGGCGCGTTGTGTCCTTCATTTCTGCATACGTTGAAAATAAGGATGACACTTCCGCAATTGTTCTTTAAGAAAAAGTAAGATACGCATTTGTGGGAAACCGGCACATCCCAAGCAGTCACACCGCGTCACGGTCCACAAGAGCTGTAACTCGCAGGAACGTTTTCGACCTTGTTTTGCATTGTTGCTGAGTAAGCACCACTGCCAGCCTCCTCTGGCATGTCTGAGGACGGTCGCCCCACCCGCCACACAGCGAAGCTGCCGCGTAGAGACGGCTGCAACTGAGTCCGTGTTTCCCGGGGGACGTGTCCGTCGGGCGCCTCCCCCCCCCCCCCCCCCCCCCTCCTCCCAGCTGTGTTTGATGCTTGCTGCCCGGCAACGCATCCCGGGCTCATTAGCCCTATGTCCGACACTCGCACAGGTAATAGGAGGCTACACTGACGCGATGCAAGGTTGAGCGTATGTTTCGTCAGCACTGTGTTAACGTCTTTCATGAGCGTGGGAACAGAGAGAAGGGAGGAGGGCAACATTCATGAGCATTGGGGTGGAGAGAGGGCAGGAGAGGTAGTATTTCTCCCCGCTTTCATGTAGTGACATCTTTTTATGTGAAAACCCAGGCAAATAGGAAGCCGTTCATATATGACGTCACGTATTTTTGCCAATTTTTCAGCTCCTTCTCTCCCTAGGCTGTTCAATGGTTGCGTTGGATGGTCATCCTGGTCCAGGTCACGCTGTGTTAAGCGTGACATCTCAGTGAAACAACGTCCGTTTGGCCCTTAATTGGGCTGGGGATGCGAAACAAATAACGAGCTTGTCCCTACTTATAAGAGAAGGCAAAGAAATCCGACTATAAGGGGTTATTTCTTACAAATTTAAACATAATGTGCAACCACGCATCAGCGTAACGACACGCTGTTCGAAGCCACCCCTCCCTTCCTTGTCGCGTTCTCGCTGCGCTGCACCGCCCCCCGACCCTCCTCGCATCCATGCCGAACATAATTTATGGACGGAATCTATTAATGGATCTAACATTCCAGCCATGTTGCATGAAATGCAGCGGAGCGAACTTGTTTGCTGGCCCACGAACAAAACATGCAACCTCCTAACCAGTTGTACGTCAAGCTGTGCCTGCGACATATATATGCATACCTACCAAATAACAATGCATATCTACCACGTGACCTCATGGTTATGGGTTCAAAGGACACGGGTCCAGACATCGCCGGTAGACCCCCGTTCAGAGCTACTTACGGGCAGCTCTCTTGCCGGGATTATTATGTGTGAACGTCAGCCCTGGCTTACCGGTTGACACGCTGCCCAGGACTTACCAGGCATGACCTAGTCCGGACTGACCACAAATGTCCACTAGGTCCCAGCTTGAGCGCTCGGCAGGCCATCTGCTGCCGACCGGTGTTCTCCTGACACCTCTGCTGACTTGGGC